GGGGATGTTGCGGGTGGGGCGGCCTTGGGGGTTTGTGGCGTGGAGGAAGGTAGTGAGCTCGGTGGGGAGATTATGGGACTCTGGGGGACGCTGATTAACGTTGGGATCTGTGAGGAGGCGTGAGCAGTCCTACCGATGTGGTCACGGCCATGTTTGTCGCGCCAAGTCAGCAGGAAGCTGTCTTCGAAGCCGAGAGCTACGTGATGCACTTCCTGGATCTGCGCCGATGAGAGGAGAGCAGTGAGTTTCTTTGGGATACGCGTGCTGGAGGTATGAAGTCAGCGCATTTGAGGTCTCGTGAGGGGAGATAAGCGTACTAGTCTCGCCGAGAAGGACACTGGAAGAAGTGGTTTCCTCTCTGGCCAAACGTGAACGTCGTGTCGCACATGGTTCTAGTTGCAATCTACGCTCCACAGATCGATCCGTTCTTCAAACTGGTTTGATGTATGGGGTATAAGTGTATTCCTTCCCACACGACCAGACAGACGTTCACCACCAGCGTGGCCGCCAAGCGATCGGCTTCAAGGTTCGTACCAAGGAACAACGACATCATGCGCGCACCAACCATCATACACAAACATGTGCTTCAGACACGTTATGCACCCCAGAGTCCCCAGCCTCTTAGCAGCCACACTGCCTTTCCCCTTCTCTTTCCATTGAGTCTTCGCGCGCGTTGAGCCGGCGTTTGGGAGTGTTGAGCATATGACGTCATTGTACCAAACATCCAATAACAGATCAGCATGAATGGTACCTCGAGCCAAACATGCTTCTTCTCGTTTGGGCCAGACGACAGCTTCATATCGAAAAGTCAAGAGGGTCTACGTCACAATGACCTTCCGCCTGCGCTTCTTACCCTCATCAAGGGCGGTAGTGTCCGGGACGTCCACTGGGTAAGTAAGCAAAATCAGAAAGCGGGTGTTGGCACGAGTTGCGGACAGGGTAATGTCATACTTTTGGCGACTTCTGTTGTGAAATTGTCTGAGTTTATTCACCTCCCACGGATATCCCGGACAACGCCTGTTGTAAAGGTGTCCGAGGTGACCTGCACCCACTGTGGTGCTGCGCCATTGCCCAGTGTTTCCAAACTCAACACCATCCCCGTTGATGTTCCTTTAACCCCATCTGCAACCTCACACTAATATGCCTTAGGCGTCACTGGGCTCACCTGCCGACTCCTGGGTACTTTCATTCAAGGACTCCTCCGGAGCGCATAACCTCGCCTGGGGTGCCTCAGTACCCGCCCGCCTACAGAAAGTATTATCCAAGCTCGCTCCTTCACAGCACCTGCGGGTCTTCTTGGGTCCATCGGATTCATACATAGCCTGGGACCCAACATTTATTCGCTGGTCAAACCTGCCTATGAGCCTAGAAGATACACTGCAATCATGGCTCACACCCTCCGGCTGGCGCGCCGGGCCGCCGAGGATGGTAAGCTGGGGGCCGGTCGATGCATTTTTCGCAATGAGCGAGTACGGCGACGTGGCGTATCGGCTCGGCGACAAGAAAAGAAACGACTGGGAAATCTGGAAAGAGACGGTCGAAGACTGGAAGGCAGAAAAGGGATTCCGCTGGAGCGAAGTCGCGTACGTCGCGCTCGACCCCACGACATCGGACCAATTCGTCGCCATACGAAACGACGGTACATGGTCGGGGTCGATAGCGGACGAGAATTCGAGCGCGCTAGAGTCATTCGCGCACAATTTCTTCCGTCTCACGAAGCCGCAGTCAAAGTCGAAGTCGCAATCTCCCCCCAAGCCACACTCACAGACCAACGGACATGCCCACACAAACGGGAACACCAGCCGCGTAGCAGAAGACACAGAGCCGGACCCAGCGACCAAAGCAGCATACCAACAATGGTCCAACTCTACGAACCTCCTCTTCGCGTCCGCCCTCGCTGCCACAACACCCACCCCCAAACGCACCCCAAAGAAACTCCAGATCCGCTCCCAGTCGTCCACCGCCTCGACTCCCCAATCGACTCCCTCCCCATCCACCGCCGTGCCCCACGCTAATCTCCTAACCTCCTTCCCCTACCCGCCCTCCGCCCTCACGACATGTCCGCTCCCCGTCTGCGCCCTGCAGAAGGCTGACCCGGCCGGACTCCGCGCGTGCAAGCACGATGTAGAACACTTACTACGAGGGAGCGGAGAGTATGGGTACGAGTGGCTCAAGAAAGAGCGGCTGCGGTGGCATCCCGACCGGTTTGGGAGGCTGTGCGAAGAGGGGTGGAGGGAGGAGGGGAGAAGGGTGAGCGAGGAGATGTTCAAGATCATCGATATCCTGCTTGGGGAGTTTGACGCGCTGAGGAAAGGTGAGGGGAAGGGCTAGGTTGGGGCGCATTTTGCGATGCGTGGAGTTGACTATTGGTTTCCTTCTTCGTCATATATCATGTTGCGTGTGAATAGTCTTCATAAGCTCGTGCTAGGCATCGTGTTTTACCGGGGGTAGGGGATTCGCTTCGGTGTGCAGAGCATATCAGTGCTACGCCGGGGGTGTGTATATGTCTGATCATCGTGTGCTTTGTACCCAAAAAGCAAGTGATTGCTTGGTCCGTGTTCAAGTTCGGCGCGCATCCCTTATGAGAAGATGTGGTTTGACGAGAAGAATGGTACTGGAGAGGCTACAGAAGAGGCTGTGTATTCTTCGGTGTACCATCATAGACTCTGTGAAAGGACTTGAAATTGACACAAAGCATCAAACAATCCTCAGCACGGACACAGTGCTCGATCGAGCAGACGACCAGTTGGTTCAGGAAGCCGGCAAAAAAGGGGGCAGAAGACCTTAATGGCTGTCTAAATTTCGTCCTAGTTTGGGGGATGTCAATGTTTTTCCACTTTCGAACGAGATGTAAAGCTCGCCTATGAGAAAGAAAACGTGCCTTACACTGTACATGCCCGACTGGTGCCAAAAGTGGCATCAGATGCCAGGACAACCTTTCGCTCCAGCATGAAGCTAAAACTGCTCAAGAGGTCTTTCCTCATTGTCGCGCCTCTATCAGTGCGTGTTTATCGCAACACTGTTCTGTGTACACCATCGCGGCCTAGCGCACCTCGAAAATCTCCGAGAATCTCCGAGCCTCACCCTCTCGCGCCAACAGCGCAATCGATCTCCAACCACCTCCTTCCCTTTCCTAGCTCCCAGGTTCACGACCACACCCGCAGAATGACTCACGCTTCTAAAAATGCATAAGGCACCCTTTCACACCAAAAAGATTCGGTGTTGTGTTCGGCGCTTCGGAAATAACGTATGATTTCAAAGCAGCGATTACAAAACGCCTGTGCGTTGCCCGCCAAGGGTTGGTGTAAGCTGCTGTTGTGCAGAATGTTGGTGTGATAATGTAAGTCTGATGAGAAAGCTCCTTCAGAGGACTCAAGTATGAGGAGCTTGTATAACTAGAAGGGACGTGGCATGCAAAAATGCCATTATCGACAGAATTCGCAAAAGGATTTGGCTGAGTACACGACTTTTTTGACATCCGCTGTGCAAATACTTTGATTGATTGCCTTGGATCATTTTCACAGCTTTGTGTAAGACAGACACATTACAACTTCAAGATGTCAGTGGTCGTGGCAGGCCCCAACACCGCACTCCCGTCAAGACCGCGCCGAAAACCTCAAGCAAAACCATCGCGAGATATACACCGTCTTCTGACCCAACTTGCCGACTTGCAGTCCAGTTATACCCCCTCCGAGTTCGCGAAGAACATCGACAAGCAGCTCCTCTATCTCACAAAATCTGCCACCACCCCCTTCACACGCATTGTTTCCCTAGGCCTTGGCTCCCTGTCCAGCACCGAAAGAGGCCAAACACGACGGCTGAAACAACTAGCCCTCCTCCTTGCGATACAAGATGCACTGCAACAGCAAACCAACGCACCAATACAAGTCTATGCCCAAGACCCCACCTTTACGAAACAGGACGAAGCACTACTGAACAGCCTCAGTATCCGGATCTTACGAACAGCATCCGGGTCCTCGCTCGGCGAAGCTGCAGATGTTATCGACGCATCCACATTGATATACTCGCCGTTCCTAACGCTGGAAGCATACGAGCAGTTACTCGTGGAGTCGAGACAGCCGGTGCAGTACGTGATCGGGGACGACTTCAATGCGCTGTTGGAGAAGTGGCCGAAGTACAGTGCGGAGCGGGCACAGGTGCAGAAGGTGACGAAGGCGGCGCTGGGGCGGTATCGGAGGAAAGCTATTTCGGGTGCTGGGTTTTGGGAGGAGAGCGATGGGGCGTTTCCTATGGCTGTGTATGCGGCGCAGAATAAGGTGGCGGAGAGGGCGAGGATGTAGGTTTAAGTGGTGTGGTTTGGGTTTGGATTTGGATTTGAGATACCCAATTGAGCGAGGAGTTTTGTTGGTGTCGCGCATCTGGAAAGGTACCGTGGAGTGATACAATGTGAGTTTGTATAGTGGATCCATGGGATCAGGATAATGACTACTTGGATGTAACGATTGTTCACAAAGAGCGCTCATCAGATTTCGTGCAAGTTGGTGAGCGTCGCCGCTTGATTCGTAATTCGAGGACATGTAAGCTCGGCTCGCACACAGTGTGGATTTTGGATCTGGTCAACCCCGCTCAAGGAAATACATCTTTCGTCGCTGCTTCAGGATGTGGGTGTACTGCATACTATAGTGGGTTCCTTCATGTGGGCTTGTAAGCCGCGATGCAGTGCAATACCTAGGCGTAAAAGTATTTCAGAGTAGTTGTGGGATCGAAGTTGTCGCGGTCAATGGGAGATTCCAGTCTCTCCGATAGCGTTGCATGTTTAAACAAATTGTTCTTGCTGACGGGCCAGGAGCGATTCTGTCACCGTGTCGGCGCTCGCAACCTTGACCTGGCATCTCTTAGGCCTAACTCCTATCATTCTGGGTCGTTTCGCACGCTGAATTTGGCTATACAACTGAAATATGGCAAAATAATAGGTGCAGGCCGTGTGGGAGCTCACTGTACCCCTGAATCACTCCATGGCGAAAAATCGCCAAAAAGATGGGTCTTACCGCGATTCGAACGCGGGGCCTCTCGCAAGTGTGCTCAGGTAACAGCCCTAAGCGAGAATCATCTGTTATACTATTAGTTATTGCTGTGAAGCTGTTGAAGCTGTTGAACTTACACCACTAGACCATAAGACCGCTGCTCAATTGATCGATGATCAGAAGAGTTGATTGGTTGATGTTTGCAGATGAAAATGTAAAATATATATACCAGTTCTATAAGCTAGGAGAGGAGCTGCACCACGCCACTCGACTACTGTACTGACATATAACTGGGGCTGCGGCTCGTTTGCGGCAGAGTTTTCTGCAGTGGTGGGTAATGAGGCAAAGTCTGACCCCACACGCCATGTGGGAACTAAGCGAGTCATGTCGGCTGCCAGCGAAGCCACACCTCCCTCGTGCAATCAAGAAGGCCGAGTATACATCGTTCAGTTAGAATTGTGTGCACACATAGTGTTTTAAGTGTTTTGGGCATCGGCCTTGGGAATCTGGCTGCTGAGGCGTTAGGGTTATGTCCCGCCCTTCTAAACACTGTATCTCCAACTACACGATTTCATTCTCCCTTTACTGTCATAATCCTCAATTAGTCTGCATTGGAATAATAACAATAATTTGTGAGTCTAAGAATTGGAGCCTGGACGCTGGTCCGTTTTGCGTGAAATTTTTGCACCCGGTCTCCAGCCCTACCACAACGCCTGAAAAAATTTGCTTGACTAGATTCTGTGCAAACTGTCTAATCGTACAAAGTCAATGTTTTCCTGGACTGCATTTGCAGTTATATGTACAGCTTGCCACTTGATACAGCTCATCAAATCACCGACTAGCCCGGCTAGCTCAATCGGTAGAGCGTGAGACTCTTAAGTATTCACGGTCTAGCAACTCGATTACTCGGTATCTCAAGGTTGTGGGTTCGACCCCCACGTCGGGCTTGTTTTTTTTCATGGCGAGGGCAGAGTTTTCTTTCCTCTACCCGATCTCCCGGCTGTACGCTAGGGTGACGTTTTTTGTTGCTCTCCGTATCAGCAGTAATGCGCGGGCGATGAAAACAAGAACAAACTAAGGTGAGTGACTAGACGTACGATTTTCCCATCCACAAGATACGCCAAAGAGTACGACTTACCAGTATTTGCCCACACCCGTCCAAACAAAGGCTAAAACATCGCGTGGCGATTCTGCAGATTCTCGATCTGAGGTCTTGTCTGACATCTTGACGTCCCACATATAGTCATTACAATTCTCATTCACGCGTATTCTCAAGATGTCCTGCTTGCGATATGAGCTCATCATCAACACTTTGCGCAGTTTCTTTAGGAAGGAGTTCTCACAGATCTAATCTCTGATAGGAACCGCCTTAATTTTTAACCTTATTTTTGAGCAAGATCAAGCAGGGCAAAAGCTCCTTTATTTTCCGCGCATTAGGGACATTATGGCTGCCCAGCTGAACATCGTATCGAGCAACCTCGTAGTCCAGTTCTTTCTTTAAGAGGTTCCAAATGTAATATTCTTCATCTTCGAATAGTGGATTTGGGCTGCCGTACAGCCGTACGATGAACCGGATAGCTTCTTTAATGGCGCCTCACAAGGTGTCTGTCAAGTCCATGGTGTCACCACAAGGTCCGGGTTCCCACGGCTTCAGAGACCAACTTGGAGACAACATGTGGATGGCGGAGGGGATGTTGTGTCAGATTCATCTTACTCAGTTTTCCAAGCCTCAGCGACGTCGAAAAATACTAACGCAGATGTGATGAGAGCTGTCACCGCCCTAGCACCCAGCTTTTTAGAATGAGGACTGATATCGACCATGCACTTCACATTGGAAAACGATTCAACTAGGTCAATCCCAAATTCAGCTCTTTTTCAAAGTCGGTCAGGCCGCGGCGTTACTGTTGTAAGAGCCCTCGTCGAGCCCGACATCTCCAGCCTCAGATATCATTTTCCTGACCACATACGGCACTTGGTCAAGACGTGTGACGTGCAACGATATAGTTGGATCGATGTCAGCATCCGCCGGTCTAATATCGTCGTCGGGATATGGCCACTCGTGGAGTAAGCGACGCATTAAATGCAATGTCGAATGATTCAAAGTACTGATACTGATGGTTTTCTGATTGTTGACTCGAACTACAAAGTAGTGTCCCGTAAAGTGATAGACAAACATGGACTGACTGCCGTCCAAACGTGATACAAAAGGAAGCGTTGTGAGTGGATAAACAAGGACTGATACTGATATGCAGCAAACCCGAGACGATCTATATACAGTAAGCGCACCTACCAACGTGCGGCAGGTTGAGGCAAATGGCATGGCAAATCAGTGGATAGGATCTTCGTCACTCCTGCCGATTGACGTGCATCAAAGACTGGATGAGGAAGAAAGAATTGTGGATTCCTTATTCCACAGCCATGGGATATGTGGACGAGCGTGCTGGGATACGGAGAAGGCTCCGATCACTGACCCCGTTGGGCTGATCGAGGCGGGATGTGAGTCGCGCATGTGCGTCCCCGGAGCGCGGAGCCATGACCACAGGAAGGCCGACGCTACGCAGGGTCTGCAGCTGGGAACATAGCTACCTACACAAGTAGAACTGTTCCAATGTTGGAGATACAGTTCGCGAGCAGTTCATGCACATCCGGACGGTGATGGGAGGTCCCTCTGTTGGTCGGCATCGTTGCGTCATCCCACACGGAAAGAGCAGCCCCTGCGCGCCTTCCTGTCCAGCGGGTCGCGGTTAGCCGACAACCAACACCTACACCTGCGCCGTTGGCCTCTTAACCTTCGCTCTCCGCGCTCCCTCCTCCTTGTGCCTCTGCAACGTTTGTTCTCTCTCGCCCACTCTTCGCTGCAACATGAAGCTCGACGCCTCTCGTGCCGCGGCTGGATGCACGCTCGCTATTGGTCCATTAGACCCCGAGATGCGCGGCGGCAGACCCGCGTAATCCCAAATCGCGACATGCCCGCGTCTCTGCTCAAGCCCAGGATCGGAGACACGATGGGGCTCCTCGGAGACCGCGAGTCACCTTTTCACCGGTCGGTTGCAGCCTTGCGCACGCCTGTGTCTGCGTGCCACGACTCACCTTTGGGAGTGCCATCGCAGGACGCGCCGTCTGGCCCATCGGTACCTGTATCACCTTCGGACCATGATGGCGCGACTTTGCTCGCGGCTATGTACGATGCGGCTGCACATCAGTGCGAGTGATCAGCCAGCCCCGGACGGGAGCGGGGATTAACGGCATACCTACCAGCGAGCCTGCTCTGTCGGTGCGCGGCGCAGAGGATGATAAACACAACAGGGCTGTCTCCTGCAGCATCTGACCTTTCTGCCCACGCCAGGTTGCACGCCCATACGGCTGTGTGTGCTCTCCATCGGACGCTGCCGCCCATCGTTGCCCAAGCAGGTCAGTTGCAAGCAATCGTTGTCTCACGACCTCCGACCACCCCATATTATAGCCCCCGCTAGGGCCATCGACTATATATCGGCGGCCGATTGTTCATCTGCCGGCTACCCTATGTTTACAAAGTGACATCGGCGCCGCTGTACGCTAAGCTGCTTTCTGGACGGAACCATACTGCCGAATCCTCGGGTAGCAGGCGTGCCATCCAAGATCCGGTTTGTCGTATGCGCTTTTCTGACACTGCATGGAACCCTTCAGACTGCTTAGTGTCGTTGTGTGTTAGCTGGTACGCCCACGCGTCTCTGATGCTCGCTGCCCATTCATTACGCGTTGCCCTCACGAATCTGACTCCGTCTTGGCATGATCGGACTTCCCCACCAGTCCGCGGCGGGCGATTCCACGCCTTCCCACTCCATCATCACAATGGAGGCAAGAGAGGGAAGGATAGGGAACGCGTTCGCCTGTGAACGCTGTCGAAAACACAAGGTTAGATGCGTGCCGTCCGAAGCTGCAGGCATCTGCCAAAGGTTTGTATCACCCGTACCTCTCCTATAGTTCCGACCTGACACGTGCTACAGATGCCAGAAGGCTCGGGTCGAATGTATCGAACATGTTGCTCGACGGAGACCAGCAAAACCAAGGACGGTGGTACAACCAACGAACAAGGTGGCTGAGATGGAAAAGAGAATCGAGAAGCTACACGCCATCGTCACGTCCACCACAACACCAGCCGTGGCCAGCTCCAAGCCGCACTCTACCTTACCACCCGTAGCATCCATCCCATCTCAGTCTGCAGAGCTTTCGCGACGCCCCTCCACGCCGGCACCCATTGTGCCATCTGCACCTCCCTCGGCAGTCGTCAAAACACCAATCCTCCCGAACCCTGGCTCCACGCCCGAATCAGCATTGTCCTTCTGGGAGTCCATGAACGATGTTGTGTCCGGCCTCGGACGTCTGGATCCTGTCATTCGCTCCATCAGCATCATCCATATGCAATCATTATTGGATATGTACCGGACGATGGCCGAATTCTTTCCGTTCGTGTTGCTGCCTAGGGAATGCTTCTGCGGCGACTTGATTCAACAAAGGCCGATCTTCTTGTTTGCGGTGCTTACTGCGGCGTCCTTTGACTCGTCTCATCTACAGGTCTCGCTGAGCAGGGAGTTCCGCAAGGTTGTCATGGTCAAGATCATGAATGGAGAAAAGAGTCTTGATCTTTTACAAGGCCTTCTTGTATTCATAGCGTGGCACCATCACTACATGGACGCACATGCTACTTCAGTGCACTTACTTCTTCAGATATGCGTTGGTATCGCGGGCGACCTTGGCCTCGACAATATCCCGTCCCATACGCGGAGTACAGTGCAGAAAGATGATGCATGGCACAGAGAGGCGAAAAGGGCCTATTTGGGATGCTACTATCTCGCATCGAGCCTTAGTTTGCTTGAATCTGGCAGAGCACGGAGCATGTCACATTCAAGTACCTTGCAGATGTTTGCAAGAGATATCGCCGACGCCTGGGAGCACCGTTCTGATGCCATTGTGCCGATTCTCATCGACATGTGCCAATTCATGGAGGATGTGGAAGATACCTTCGGAGATCACTCAGAGCCCGCGCTTGTCACGAAAGCTCAGTTGAAACGCCTGAGTGAGAAGTGGGATCAAATGCAGTCTGCAACCAAAGCGCAGGCAAATGACTACCGTAAGTCTATCCTTCCTGTGTGTGTTCCACGCTAACATGGTTCAGGAACGCTGCGATGGATCCAGTTAGTAGCCCGAGCACACCTCTACAAAGCCACGGCCTCCCTCGACATATATGATCGAGACAGCATGCCATGGGTATCTGGTTTCCAACTGTCACAGCGCATCACATGCCTCCGGTGCGTCGAACAGTTTTTGGACTATAGCCTCCAGCTTTCCAGCAGCGAGTATGAGCTGCTGTCAATCACAGACTGGCTCGCACTGGTGGCAGGTTTGACCACGCTTGCCAAGCTCGCTCTTCATACCTCGCCAATGCCAGGATGGGACCCCGTGGAGCTGCAGATCTCAAAGAGCTTCGGATACTTTCGCGATCAATTATCGGCTCAGATGCCACGACCACACGACTCGCAAGATCAAGGCGAGGACCTTTTTGAGCGGTTCAGACGCATCACAGCAATAATGAAAATGACAGTGAAGGCCGTACCAGGAAGAAGCAGTCCGAACGGGTCTACTTTCGAGTTAGCCACTGGCTCTGGCAGGACAGTTTCTCTTCTGCAAGAGTTGCCCCCGTTGAAGCCTAACGGCGCAGCGAATGGCTCGGATTCGTTGCCACCTGCACCCTGGAAAGTCAGCCCGCAATTCGACATAAGCAACCAGGAATTTCTTTGGAAATTCCTCACGGGCTCCATTTGAGCATTTTCGAGCGTCTCCCACCATTCAGAACACTCGATGTCTCTGTTACTCGAATGTCCATACCTATTCCGACGATGACGACTCGGCATGTTTCGGCTCGGCGACAACAGTTACCGAGCGCAGCGCCTACATGCAGTCTGGTTAG